AGTTTTATTTGTTTCAACTAATTATCAAAATATTAAATATAAATAACCATTCATTATGAACATATATTAGAACTTTGTATGATGTACAATTAGTCTTAAATTTATTAAATTCCTGGAATCTATAGCATTTAAAATTTAAAATTATAAAACATATTCTGTAAGGTAATTGAACGAGTTAAAACATTCACGCGTTTGATAACTATTTTCAATTATTCAAGTAAAAAGATTATACCTATTTTACTTTACAAACAATACAATCATAATTACTTTATAAGTTTTATTTGTTTCAACATATTATCAAAATATAAATATAAATTTCACCTCATTCATACATATGATTTTCCCGACTTACTAATGATTTACATAGTCTTTTTTATAAATCACAAAAAAAATACATAGAAACTCCATTTAATGAATTAATAACTATTGACATAAATGGATCATTTGAGTATAATTAAAACCAAATTTAAAAGCATAAAAACTTAATACAATTATAGCAATTCCTATTAAAATAACTGGACCTTCTGTTATTAATCTTCTTTTAAACGTTGTAAAATAATATATTTCAATTGTATGAGTAGCTTCATTTATAATGTATTATCCAGTATACATAACTCTTTATGGTTGAGTCTGTTTAAATTTAAGCATATCCCAACAAAATTTTAATTCTGATTCTCTATTCTTCCACTTCTCCATAAATAAAGAGTCAATAACAATGCATAGAATGGGACAATTGATGAACTTATATATTTTTATTTATTACTTTACTTATTGAATTATAATTATATAAATTCTTAAAGCTGTTCCCAAAAGTGATGGGATCATTAACCAACCTATGATTTGAACATTCAAAGCTATATACCAAGCAACTACTGGACCAAAGTAAAATGAGATCGCATGCAATGGTCTTAAAGCTATTTATTGAGTTTCATATCTTAAAGAATCACGAATACAATTGTTTTATTGCTAATCCCAAAATTAAGTAATTTTTTAACATTTTTTTTTATCTTCTAAAGGAAAATGAGATATAATTAATTATTCTAAAACGAATTTCTCAACATCAAATTCATCATTCAAAGTTTTCAAAATCAACATTTATACTTATAAATCTTTAGGAAATTCAAAAAATCTACTCTTCTAATAATTGAATTAACAAATATACTAAATATTAATATTATTAATTTTTACTTTTGTTTAAAAATTATAACATGATATTTAATAGAGATCAGCTAATCTATAAATAGAATCTGGAGGTATTTTCAAGACATAATAATGATATAAAGGTTTAACTTTTTTATTTTGCTAATTTTCATTGTATAATTCTAATTAATCTAGATTTGGAGAATGAAAAATCAAAAATTCAAAACTCCAACCTCTATCTATAAATGTTTATCTAATATTTTATAATTATAAATAAACAATATCTTATTCTACACTTAATGTTCCTTTAGTCTAAATTACATATTAATATCCTAATTCTGTTAAACTTTTGATCTCTTATTTTACTTAAATATTTTCTTCATAGAATTCCATAAATTTAGAATTATAAGTTAATTCAAATGGTTTCAAGCATCTACTATTAACTGCATCTACTGATATCCCATGTGATATTAATATTTTCATACAACGATATTTTTCTTATTCAATAGCTAAATGAAGTGCATTAGATGGATTTTAATCTGTGAGAATGTTAATACATTCTTTCTTTAGGCTAATAAATCAAATTCATTACTTTATTAAATAAAACAGTATTGATAGGTTTTTTAGTATTTTTATTCAACAGTTCTGAATTATCATAATATTCATAATCATTTTCTAGAATTACTTTTAATATTTTCAGTTTCCCTTTATAAGCTGCAATATGTAAACAGTTAAATCCTTAATAAACATTGAGAAATGGATTGCATTTTCTTTTGAGAAAATATATGAAGAAATCTTAATTACCTTATCTGGCAGACCAATATTAAAGTCTACATTCATATTTTTAATGAGTAGTTAGTTCAGCTTTACTATTGGAAATAATAAATTTTTCTTTAGATCCCTTTTCTAAATCATCATTATTAAATATTAATGTAGTTTTAGCTCTATGACCTTTATGGTTTTCTCGTTTTGATAAAGATACCTTAAGATTAGGTTCTACTAAAGTAGGTAAATTATTATTATTAGAATTATATTATTGTATTTAAAGTAGTTCATCTTAATTTGTTTCTGTAATTATTTTACTATTATTTGTATTCCTAGAATTAAATACTTTGATTTCAGGTATCTTTTCTTCTTCTGGTTCCTTCATTTCTATACGAGAGTCATCATATAATGGAATGTCAGCATTTTCATCTAAAATCTTTTATTAAATTCTTTAACATCCATTCTTTTGTTAATATTTTAAAACTTATTAACTATGAGGTGTTTTTTAAGTACTTTTTACATTTGTATTTTTTGAGATAAAGGAATTTGAAGCATAACTTCTATTGATATTTGAGATATTTAAACATGGTATTCCATATTTAGATGGTTCTGATTCTGGTGATGATTCCTCATCATCCTGTTATAAAGCTTGCATCAATGGAATTTAAGATGTGATTGTTGTTGCCTTCCTTTATTTTCTTTTTTTAACTTTCCTCTTCAATTCTTATTAAGCAGTCACTTTAGCATATTATATTACAACATTTTAGAAGATATCCCAAACGTCTTTCCTATTTCATACTATATTTTAAATTACTTATATTNATTTTATAATTATAAATAAACAATATCTTATTCTACACTTAATGTTCCTTTAGTCTAAATTACATATTAATATCCTAATTCTGTTAAACTTTTGATCTCTTATTTTACTTAAATATTTTCTTCATATAATTCCATAAATTTAGAATTTTAAGTTATTTCAAATGGTTTCAAGCATCTACTATTAACTGCATCTACTGATATCCCATGTGATATTAATATTTCATACAACGATATTTATCTTATTAATAGCTAAATGAAGTGCATTAGATGGATTTTAATCTGTGTGAATGTTAATACATTCTTTCTTTAGGCTCATAAATCAAATTCATTACTTTATTAAATACAACAGTATTGATATGTTTTTTAGTATTTTTATTCAACATTTCTGACTTATCATAATATTCATAATCATTTTCTAGAATTACTTTTAATATTTTCCATTATTCAAATCAATCATTTGATTATATACTTTACACCCCAATATACAACACTTCTACTCTAATCATCAACCATACTAAAAAATTCCAATAATGTTTTATGTGCAAACTTTAATTCTTCTTCAAAATCTTTTTTTAGTTTATTTATATCTCCATCCTTAACCCATTCCAATAATTGGGTTGAAGTAATTTGCATAGAAATTTTAAATATTGGAATATAAAAATATAATTAACTCAATTCCAAAATCTTAAACTATTCATTTGAATAAAAAAATGGATATTCTAAAAAAATATTAAATGATTTTAATAAATTCAGAGGATCTATTTGATATTCAATTTTTTAATTATTACATTATATCTAGTTTATCAACTTATTATACTAGAAAGCTATTGATTACAATAGATCTAAAATTATTAATCTAATATAATTTAATTTTAATTAATATTCTCTTCCATCTTTATGATTTATTAAGAAAGTGATATATTTATATTTATACACATTTTTCACTTTAATTTTTTATACAAAATATAGGTTCTTTTATTCTCAGCCATAAATTATGTTAAATATGATATTCTTTTATTAATTTTCCAATAAATTATTAAAATTAAAATATTATGAATAACATACTCCAAACATAAATAATGAAAGATATCAAGAGAGATCATGGGTAATATTTATTAGAAAAAATGTATGAACAATTTAAACTATTGTCTTTATACGAACACGAGGTTTTATTTAAAATTGGTGATGTTGGAAATAAATTATATATTTTGTTATCAGGTCGGTTAGGAGTTTATATGGAATTAGAGGAATGTTAATTTGAATTGAAGAAAATTAACGATATTTTGTATTAATTCACTTATCTTTAGACCATATGATCAATTCGGAGAAAATGCTTTACATAATTAGAATTGTAAAAGAAATCAAACCATTATTGCTTTGGAATAAAGTACTATTGCTTATCTAACCAGATAAGATTATTAATTAATTATTGGTAAATATAAGTCAGACAATTTGGATATCAAGTTATAGCTATTAAATAAGTTAGATTGCTTTTAAACATGGACTATAGGTTAGTTTAAAAGTTTTAGTTGTTATATGTTTTTATAAAATTTTTGTTTAAATTAAATGGTATATAAAGAAAATGATGATTCACAATTTTTATATATTGTTTAAGATGGGCAATTTGAAATGATTAAGACTATATAGGATGAAAAAAAATTACTAAGAAAAAGAACAAAAAGAATGTATGATTAATTATAGATAATAGCTAAGTTGTGTATTAAATGAAGGTTAAATATTTGGTGAAGAATCATTAATGAGATCATTAGAAGAAGATCCAAAAATTTAATCACCTTTAAATAATTATATTTATATATAAAGATATTCAACTGTAAAGTGTATGAGTATAAGTGGATCTTTATTTAGAATATCAAGAAAAGACATAGTAGAGAGATGTTGGGATGAAATAACTAAATTATAATTTTTATCTCTTTTAATCAAATTAAAAAATTTTAGATTGAAACGAGTCAATTCATTATAGAATAACTAAGAAGTCAATGAAAATTTTACTGATTTTGAAAATGGTAGAAAATTTAGAAATAATTCTACTTAAACATAAAAAAAAATTACTTTAGAACCTATATTTACTAATACTTATTTTTAGAAATATTTTGAATAATAATAAGAGAAATCTAAGTCATCAAAAATTGTCAAAACTAAATTTTAAATAAGATTAAATTCTATTGATGCATTATCAAATTAATATAATTCCCCAAAGATATCAATCTAAAGAAAGGCTTCATAATTTCATAAATTATTATCACAAAGATATCATAAGAGTACTAATAAATAGGATAATAAATAATTCTCATTTGATTTTCCATCAAATAATATTGGTTATCAATACTATAAACAATTTTTAACTAGTGAAAGAATTAAAAGTTTGCATTGCTGAAGTGTTTGTATTTATTATAAATGTTGATACTCAATTTCGATTATATTTATTAAATAAAAATTTAATGATTACTACAATACCCATTTCTCTTCATTAATCAACAGATAGAACAGGAACTACTTATAGATTTGAAAATCAAAAATAATAAAGCATGAATCTCTTACAAAGAGTTAAATAACATTTATAATATAAGTCAGCAACATTTAAGACAAAAAGGGAATGTGTTATTGATTCATAATAATTAGACAAACATGTCAATGATGAATTAAATAATAAAAAATATGTAACATCTATGGATAATGATGATATAAATCATCAAAAATTGATTGACGATTGTGTTAGAGATATATTAAAATTTAATAAACCAGTGTCTAATGAAACTGACGCATCCCCAATATTCAGAGGTAGTTAAAGATCATCTTTTTCATAAATTGGAAAGAGTGTTCCTAAAAATAGAATCAAAAGATTATCATCCACAATTCTAGTAGGACAAATGGTCAAAAACAAAGGATTAGAAAAGCCAACAATAAACTAAATAAAATAATAACAAATAGATAAAATTATTAAATAAGAGAGAGATAGAAAAAGCACTGACACTAATCCNTGATAAATGATGATATAAATCATCAAAAATTGATTGACGATTGTGTTAGAGATATATTAAAATTTAATAAACTAGTGTCTAATGAAACTTACGCATCCCCTATATTCAGAGGTAGTTAAAGATCATCTTTTTCATAAATTGGAAAGATTGTTCCTAAAAATAGAATCAAAAGATTATCATCCAGAATTCTAGTAGGACAAATGGTCAAAAACAAAGGATTAGAAAAGCCAACAATAAACTAAATAAAATAATAACAAATAGATAAAATTATTAAATAAGAGAGAGATAGAAAAAGAACTGACACTAATCCAAAACCTTTTAAAATTGTTTTACCAATTATTTTAACCAAAAATTAAGATAAAGAATCTGTTAATTAACTATCCCAAAAATTTAGTATGGTTACAGCATCTCAACGTTATTTAAAAACAAAAAAAAAAAGTATTATCATAAGACCCTTCTCCATTATTTGAGCACCATACTAGTTTTTCTATGTTATCAGATTCAATTGATTGTAGCCCTAAATAATATGAATCTAATGCATCATCAGTGAGTTCTGAGAAATTGATCATAATTTGTTTCATCGTTAATAATTAATGTTGTTTTTGCGCTAAACTATTACAAATTCAACAATCTTATACAATCCTTAAATAATTCAAACATCAGTAGCAGTAATTATGAACAATGATGAAATACTATTGATCAAACGTAAAGTAAATGCAAGAGATCCTCATTAGGTTAAATTGCATTTCCTGGTGGAAAAGTTGAAAAGGATGAAAATACATTATAGGCTGCTATAAGAGAAACATTTGAGAAAATAGGAGTGAATTTGAATGAAAGTCATCATTTGGGAAGAATAGATAAAAATTATCAAGCATATTATATAAAGAATAAGAATTTAAAGATAGCAACTCATATATTTTAATTAGATGGATAAGTAGAATGTACTATAAATGAAAATGAAGTTGATAGAGTAATGAGATTGCCATTGAATTAGATTAGTTTAGAATATTTGGATATCAAAAAAGTATAAAAATAAATCAGTACATATATTTGTTCGTACTGTTGAGAGAGAAAAATATTTATCTGATATTGTAATGTAGGGATTCTAATATTAATAATTTCCTTATTATAAATTAGAAAAATAAGTATTTTATGGATTAAGTTGGCTTGTATTATGTGATGTATTATAGAAATTGAAATTACATTAAGATGTTGTTGATTATACTTTTTAGAATTACCATTATGGATTTGAAAATAATATTAGAAAAGAGTAATTCTTTGATGAATGGTTCAAAAAGGAGAGATTAAAATAGTTTATATGTAATTGAGTTAATTCATTTTCTCATTTATCCACAAACTTCACATTTCTCATCTGTATTCTCTTCATATGTACAAAATCCACAAGTCCAAGATTATAATGTTATATACAAATTCACTTTCTTAATTATAGATAATTTCTTTTTTATTTCATTAATGTCATTTGTACAATTAACATAATAAGATTTCCCATCATCATCTATATAAGTTAATAAAGGGTTAATAATGTTCATTTGATCTCTAATAAATCGTATGATCTCATCATAAGTTGGGTTCTCTTTTTCATATAATTTCTCTAACTCTCCAGAAACTATGTTGAATAACATCAATTATTAATATTAATATATAAACTCTTTATTATTCATTTTCCAATATCCTGCTCTTGAAAATGATGTTTAAATTCTAGTTTAACAATATGAA